CTACTGTTCGCTTTATCATACTTTCATTTCCGCAGGCTTTCTTTGTCAGGCTTATATACTAACCAAGAGAGCGTGGGCGTCTCGAAAAACCTCGGGCTTACCCGATAATTCATGATCATTCGAGAAATTCATCACGTGTTACCAGCGTCACGTGACTTCTGCTGTCGTAACAGAGGAGTCATAAAAGCCAAAATGCATTTATCCAGATCGAATAATTCGATTACTGTCTACCTATTACGATTTCAGTGACGGGCTGTGAGGGAGTGCAGTGAAACCTTATAAATGTAGTGAGTGTTAATATAATATGCTTAAAGTAAAGTCTTATGTGGAATCACCTAGCCTAAAGCCAAGTGCATAAAATTAATAATGAAAATATAAATATTGATTCAGTTTTAAATTTAAGTCGTTTCTGAAGTGAACTATTTTCTTTTATACCATCAACGTTTTTAATATAAAACAAACCTCTTTAATCAATAGGGTCTCTAAATTAAGAAACCAATAAATATTTTTCCAGTTTTGTTGTCTATATATTTAATTTTATACTTTCAGTACATAGACTAACAACAATATTGGGTTATACGTTTATTGCTAAGCAACATTACATAAAAGCCATTGTTGGAATGCAGTGTTACCAAAATGCATTGGCTTTTCCATATATTTAAAGTTGTTAATCTAAATTGATTTTTACCAATAATTATTCTATGAATACGCCACGAATTCATTTCATGAATGGTCTTAATTTTGATTGGCTCACAAAGGAATTTAACGACGTTTGACTGCCTCAACTACACTTATCTGTCTCTTTGTTATTCAAGCTTGATTTCTCAAAATATATTTATTTCAGTTAGTTATGAAATGTGAGGTTAGGGTATACTATGGGGTAGGGGCGGTAGTACTTGCCCCGTCATTTTTAAACGCCAGTTTAAAGAATAATTCAAATTAAAAATATATCTGATTAAAGACAAGATTGATAAAGCTATAGGGGACGTACAGAGCAATTATAACAACAAGTTTGACGAAATGGAGAAGGACATCAACGAAGTAAAAATTGAATCGACAAAGTCAAAAGTGAAGTACGGAAAAACGACAACGAGGTAGGAAATAGCATTAGTAACAGAAGAAAGCACTTGAAAAGGGAATTAAAAAATAAACCAGCTACATTTCCTTTTGCTTGCTTAAGAGTTCCAATTGAAAACACCATCTACTACCAGATATGAAATAGAAGAATGTATTTGGTCTACTAATGGTTGGAGACCGCTTGAATGGGTAATGAAGTAAAACTTTAATATAAGTTTAACATAACAGCAAATGTACAACGTTTCGGTAGTCGGTCTACATTTATTACATCTACTGCTATACCATCCGTTACAGAAGAGCCTTCATGAGCTACTACAGCCATGACATTACCAAATCCAGTTCCAGAATTTAATTGGCCAGTTCAGCATTGACCAATTGAGAAACCAACAGACTTTGATGGGAAGTACTATGGAAGTCATACTAACCTCAGCTTGAAATAATTTATAGAGTGAATAGGTGGAATAGTGAACAACAAGCCATTCTTCTTGCTGCTCATTTAAAAGAATAAGCTTTGACTAAATTAAGTAATCTTCAAGCTGAGAGCCATAACAACTATCAAACATTGGTAGCTGTCTTATCCAACAGGTTTGGAGTGCCACACCAGAAAGAAGTGTCCAGAGTAAGGATGAAAGAAGAAACTGTAGTTTAACTTGCAGAAGATTTGAAAGGATTGCCCAACTATCTTACTTGGACGCTTCATGTAGAATGATGGATTCATTGACACGTGACCAATTTATAGATATTGTAACAGCCGAATATATCAAAATTAGACTGATGCAGGGTAGATGTACATTTTCCAAGGAAGCTCTGTAGTTGATAATAAAACTATAATCCATTAAAGTCGCAGAATAAACAGATAAAAACATAATCTCAACGATATGAAATTGTCAAATCGAATAGCGTTGAAACATAATCTCCCACTGACGACAGTTTAGAAGAACTAATATGATTTGTTAGACAAATAGTTACAGATTATTGGAGAAATGAACAACTAGAAAATATGTGCTTCAGGTGTAATTTAAAATGACATATTTCTAAGAATTGCAAATAAATGCTTGTAGAGAATAAGAATCCTAAAGAATACCAGAAAGATAAAATTGTTATAAATGTAGAAAACCTAGCCATTACAGCCGAGACTGAGAGGAAGTAATAGCTATTAAGGCATCTAGAAGACAATACCCAAAAGATGAGTCTTTTGAGCCAAACCTGATCAGAGGAACAACAAAGGGCTAACCAGGCATTGGGAAACAGAAATTAGCTGGTCTTATGGGATAAAGCTCAGCTGAAAAAACACACAAAAACAAAACATCTGAGAAACCTTAAATGATGTTGAACGACACTGGTTCAATAGATATCACAGTTCGACCTGATTTGGTAATGAAAGGTGGGAAGCTGCCTCCAAAGACAACATGATATGAACAGCAGGTGGATATAAAGTTCTAACAAAAGGGAAGTTGGAAGTTACCCTTACTGTAAGAAGCTTCTCTGTGCCTCACGATGTGTGGGCAATTGATATCGAGGAAGAATGCATTTTTGGAAACTGAATTCCTACAAAGGCATGGATGTGAGATCGGGTTAGCTTCAGATCACTTCATAGTCAATGACAAGGAAATTCATGTGTATTACATGGCGCTTACTACACAAGAGATTGAATGAGCAATGGAAAAGGAATGATGGTCATTGTACTATCAAGAAGTGAGATACTCATATTAGGAATTGAGAGCAATAATTCTTCTTCTAGTGACTGGTACATAGTAGACCCAATACTTCAGCATTTTATGGGAACGGTGGTTGGAAAAGCTTTTGGGATATGAATAATAAAAATATTGCACATGACTACACCCAGTAAAGACCTAAATCGTGATAAAGCAAAATGTAGTTATTTTGTAACTGCTGATAAAAATGGATTCCATCGAGGGGACATCACATGGCTGAACAGTTCTCGTTGCGTGAGAGGACAGACTCCAAAGTTAAGCAGATTTTTCGTATAAAGGCAATCCACTCCAAAGGTAATCCAACATGAGTATCTTTGGAAGTACGTTTATGAGAGAATAATTAACTGAGTAGCTACAGAGAAGAACTTATCAGCAGAACATCAATCTACAAAGGAATTCAGAGTTGTTCTCGAGACTACACCCAGATGATCTCAAGATTGAAGCTGCCAGTGGATTCATCCAACCACCTAAGCAGAAAAAATTCACCCAGCGACAGAATGGCCAATGACAACAAAGGACAAGACACCAGAAGAGTAAAATCATTAAAAGAGACTTGATGAATGGACAATATAATGCTGTATTTTATTGTACTTTTTATTGGGCTTGTTCAAAGGATTTTACAATCCAGGAAGGGGCATTCTCTTTGAGCTGTATTTTAATGTTGTAATTTATATGTTAACTAGAGGTCGCATGATGTTAAGATATGCCTAAAGTGTCTAGAAAGTTCTAAGTTGATGTCAAATGTTTCTCATACATTTCAAGCTAGATTATAAATACAGCAGCTTGAATTCAAAGATGGTCAATGATAAAGTTAAGAGAGTGTAGAGCTGTTTGTAGATAGATTTAGTTATGTCAAGTTAGAGAGTTAAATCAGTCAGTGTATTTTAGTGAATTATTGGATCTGTGTTTGTTATTGCGCTTATTAAGTTACTTTGTACAAGATTAATTACATTAATCCTAATACTTTTAGAGAGGTTTGAACGTTATCTGTAACGTAAGTGTGGAACAAGTTTATAAGTGTTCTAACTTGTGGAAATGTAAAAGAAGAAATAAAGTAATTTGTTCTC